TCCACCGCATGTCCAGTTTCGACCAAGTGTGCAACAATGGAACTGGAAATAACCCCGATTCCTCCGTGTCTAAGCCAAGCGGGTTGATGTTCCTTGATGCACTTAGATAGCTGCCTTGTCGTACGACCTACATAAGCGGCATCAAAGGTGCATTTGAATTGGTACATGAGCATTGACGAGGTCAACATAGGCAACTTATCCTTGTTCTGACATCGGATGACGGGTGATGTTGAGAACACGCATTTGAGTTTGGCAGCATTGAACGCTGTTTTGACTGCCGCATTCAGGACTCTGTTAACCCTTTCAGCTGCTGGATCTCCTTTGAACGGAAGTTTGATGATCAACGTCTTTTTCTCAGCTCTATCTGCAACAACCTGTTTTATTCATTCAGACCAGTTGCGATTGATGAACATTTCCGGGTAGCGATTTTCTGTTAGCGTCCTTCGCACAACTGCTAATTCTGTTTCTAAAGTATCTTCTGAGCAGATGTATCTTGCTCCGAATAGAAGACAGCGCACTAAGCTACGTTTGTAAGCGAGCGGTACAAAGCTACGGAAGTTTGTGTACTGACCGTTCCATGAGGCTTTTTGATGCACCAAAAACACATCGTTGGGGTCCAAATTGTCATCGGAAACATAAAATATCGTCCATGTATCTGTAATGATGATCGAAATTATTGATGACTGTGTTCAGAGCACCGGATTCTAATTTTGTCACATAAATATCTACAAGGACTGGCCCTTTTTGGAGATAGTAAGTATTACCAAACTAGAATTGCACGTTGAACGTGCACCTGAGTATCAATTCTTTGAGACTGTCAACTGGTATACCCACGGGTATACTGTCTCGAGCAGAGGTACGTTGGTAAACAGGGACACGACATCAAGAGAGAACATTTGTTTTCCTGCGAACGTGTATCGTATTTTTTTTGAAGCTTTTTATGTACTGGTTCGAGAACTTCTACTGGCCATTAGGCGGTAGCGTGATAGACTGAGTTTGTCGTGGACAGTATGGGACCAGACGGATTGTGGATTTTTGGTAAACCGTATAACCGAGGTATGTTGGAACCTACGGGTTTGAGTCTTCCAAAAAGGTTCATTGATATGTGTCCTTGGTCTCTGAGTCTTTTCGGTGTTCCCGTGGTTTCCCTTTCGGTTTTCTCAGTTTGGTCGCCCTGCGATGTGTCTCGACTGAATTTTGATTCATCCTGCAATGAGATAACCATTCTAGAGATGTATACTTCACGATCCATTACAACCATGCCAGCTTCTTTGTCGGGTCTACTCAGGAGAATTCGCGGGTCTCTTCGTAGTTCTCTAAGTGCATCAAGATGCGTCCGTGTAAGAGCGCCTCGATTGCGAGCTTGGTAACGCCGGAATGATAGCAAGCTGTGACTAACGAAGATATGAATCGTTCTAAATCTTCGACAGATTTAGGTGTAAGATCAGTCGTTTCCCAACTAGGACTTCAAGTGGTAACTGCAGTTCCGTTTGACTAGCTTTGCGACTAAGACAACAACATTTGGAACTGAGAGACAATTCTTCGATCGCAACGCGGCTTATTTCAACACTGGAAAAATTGTGAACGTACAGCTCCGGTCCGTTGGCAAATTGTGCTTGAGGTGCGAGGAGACTCAATGTCGGATTCAAGGACAACATTTTCTTCCCATAGCGGCGATCGGTTATCACTTTAACATAATCCATGAACATAAGTTTATCTCTATCATTCAGGTAACCCACAGCTGATTGATGGTGAGAAACAGATATTTCGAGCGTGGAAATCACAGGTCTAACAGTATCCAATTAGTTGAGAGCATGGCGTCTTAGAGTTCGACTGTGATTTGAAAATAGAGGACTTTTACTTAGGGCTCGACAAATGAGAGACAAAATCTGTGGGATATAAAGTCATGGGTTTAACATAATTGTACATATGTATGAGTTGTAGATCTCTAAAAATAAAACCACAATCGCACATTAAAAAGTGGTTCATGTAAAGTTAACTAGCATCCGACAGTGTTGATGAATCCGTTCAAGTCGCGGTCTCAGGTATCTTTCAGTCTCTAAAGTCTGAAATTCAAACCTTGCCAGTGGAATCCCAGTTAGACGGTTGGGTGGTTTTCCTAACTGGTAGCACGTCTTTTGGAGCCACAAATACATCACTCGAAGCATGAAACCTGAAAGCATCAACTTTTTTATTACACTCCTAAGTATGATGAACAGCAGACGGAGCGAACCCCATAGCCACGAGGACCTGCTGATCAGTGGTGAAAACCGGTAACCTAAGTCTCGGGACTTGGAGTGGCGAACCACATAAGGCCTCGATAAGTTAGGCGTGGTATTCAGTTGTTCAGTTCTTACAACCATTAACCATGCACTTTCGTGCGCCGGTTTTCGTTGCCCATTTGGATAAAATAGCAGAATGAGGATTAGAATGTTGAGAGCACATCAAACCGAAAAATAGTACATTTTCATAGTCTGAAGTTACAAGAATAATGACTAGATGCATGAGGGCCACTGTTTGGAACACCAAGCCATATTACTCAGTGTATCTAACAATCGATGACCATGATCTTTTGGTCCCCAGCCAGGGAGCCTAACAAGATCCATGTGACCTAGTCTCCTGGTTAGGGTTTTTATACCCTCATGCCAGGTCTTCGTTTGATCACCCTTGACTTTCTTCCAACCGCTACCTGCCTCGGCAAACATCGCTCGTCGTGGCTAAATATCTGGTGACATGCGTTGCACATGTCCCAAACAGCGTAATCTATGGGAGTCGACTACCTGTTCCAGCGGACGACCGCGATTACCTAAAACTCTACGCCTAACCGCAGCATTGCTCGTTCGGTTTCCCCACCAGACTCGCGCAATGATACGTAAACAGAGGCGTTCGAACACCGACAGTCTATTTCTATCCTATTCCCGTAACGGCTAAGTCTCTGCACCGTAAAGCAGAATCGGCCGAACTGCTGCAGCACATATTCGACCCCTCACAGATAGCCGGATGTCGCGACTTCGCCACAGATGTCTCAAGTTGGCAAATGCCAACCGAACCTTTTGTATGCGCGCCGACACTTCATCTGTGATGCGTCCGCCAGGTGAGATATAGCTGTCCAGACAGCAAAACATGTCTACTTCCTCTACTACTTCCCCGGTCAGGGTGAGGCTGTGGACTGGACCAAACCAATCTTGGAGCAGCATTTTACACTTTGAAGGTGCAAAGCGCATGCCGAACACGGCTACACTAGCACCCAAACTATCCAGAAAAGCTCGCAACTTACCTGGATCATCACTTAGTAGCGCAATGTCGTCTGCATACTCTAGATTAGACAATCTGGCACCTGGGAGTAAATCGATGCCGCAATCCCCTTACGAGGATAGGGCTGTTTCAAGAATTAAACCCCTAACAAAGTTAAATAGAAATGGAGAGAGAGGGCAATCCTGTCGAACACCACTTTCTGTAGTGAACTCGGGTGAAAAAGTGCCGTAAGCTCGGACTCGGCTTCGGCTATTATTATAGAGGGGTTGCAATATTGAAATAAACTTCTCGGGCACACTCTTCAAATAAAGGCAGCACCAGAGTTTAGAGCGGTCGATTGTGTCGAAAGCCGCTTTCAGGTCGAGGAATATGGAAATGGTGAATCTACGAAGAGTGTCTGTTCTAGGATTTGACGAAAAGTAAAGATGTGGTCGACACAACCTCGACCAGGTCTAAAATCAGCCTGGTTCTCACGTGTGGACTCTTCATGAGCGGTAGGCAATCGACGGAGTATGATCCCAGTGAGAAGTTTAGAGGCAATATTAATTAAACTAATTCCTCTGTGGTTTTCACAAGAGGACCTGTCGCCCTTCCTGTAAATCGTTATGATCACCGATTCACATCATTTAGTTAGAACCCGTTCGTTTTCCCACACTGAACCCAGGAGTTTTGTTAACCCCGAAACCAAGGCTAGACCGCCATCCTTAAAAACCTAGCCTTGGTTTTGGAGGATGGAGGCGTGGTATTGAACCGGACGACAGCAGAGCTGCCTACCACCAACTATAACTGCAACTGATCCGATTTCTGCTACACTGGTATTTACTTCCTCTACTACACACCACACGATTGTATGATACAGGGAAACCAATTCGGTGATAAAACACGACTTACATAGGGATCCACGTCCGCCAGGCTGTGACGAAATGAATGCTCGATGGATTCCGAACTGGCATCATGATCTCCATTTACAGATGTACCAGCAACGGAGCCCGTTGTGGTGCCGAATGGTTGTTCATCACCTGTAGTCATTACCCGCAAGGCTCGATGCACGATGGTACAAGCAGTGGCTACTGCGCAATCGCTCATGGCCAACCGGCGTCCTGTTTCACGCACAGTCAGAATGAGCGAAAACACCGCAGGCTCTGAAAGGGCTGGTCGTGGAGGCATGCTTGCCAATAGGCTGTTTGGATTGCGGATCGCTGTGATAGAGGTAGGCAGTTCACGTGTACCCATTTTCTGAGAGGATTAGGGGCTATAAAAGGAAAAGAACAATTATATCGCCACCGATGCCTTTATGCAACCAAAGCAATTGGAAAACCATACTCCTAAGAATTTCGATTCTTTTTGATACAGAAACCTAAGAGGTGTACATAAAATTACGGCTGGGATAGAGTAGTTAATGTCGCATAACCTGTCGATGTCATTCGAATGGACATATGACGTTGTCTACTGCGCTATTCCGTAATTCATCACTCCCCGTTCTGGGGTAAACTAAAAACTGCCGTCACTACGTGGCGGGAGATTGTGACTAAGAGACTCACC